TTTACGATAACTACGCTGTTAATTAACGAGAAAAATCAGTGCTCGAAATTGTGTTGTTATTCATGTACGGAAATAGAAAGTTATGTTAGTTTTCATTTCTGACGTCTTTCTAAAGGATGAAATGGTTTTAAACGCGATCAGCTTAATATCATTCGCAAACACGATGTTCCATTTCGAGCAATGATTACTTTCGAACTTACTACAGAAAATGAGTTTTTAAGTATCTAATCGTATCACTGTAAACGATCGTATACAAATGATACAAAAGTGTAGTAATAATAATAATGATAATAATAACGACGTGTGATTCGTGCAATTTAACTCTCTACGGTTTGGCAATACCTTCAAAGTGAAGAAGCATCGCTTACATTTACGAATGTTTTTCCCATTTTTTTACGGCGCGAATAATTCGAAAGGCCTAAATGTAAATTTCTTTCGACCTTCGAACTTTTAAACATTTCAAAGCGTTTCGATCCATTTTAGAAGCTGTTAAATACTTGCTACAATTAGCGAGAATCCGACCATAGAGAATTAAATGTACGAGCGCAAAACATTTGTTTCTTTTTAACCACGTGAAAAATAAATTGTACAAATTCCCGTAACGTTATTTTTCTTTTTCCAGATTTAAGATTCTTCTTCTCTTCTTTCTTCACAGTTTCGTGATAAACTGCAAAACGAGATGTACGTAAATTCAATCTTTTATTATCATTTTTTGTTTTGTTCACTCTCTCTCGCTCTCTCTCGGTTTCACTCGCAATCTCGCTCTTTCTCTCACTCTCTTAGCTCGTGCAACTTAGGCAATAAAGGCCTATCCCTTACGACTACTTATGCTCTATAAAACACGATACTTATGCTCGTTTCAATAATTAGACGCTACTATCGATTATAAAAACACAAAGTTATCTGGCCAGCATTAAAAATATAACGAAAACTGAATCGTTCTCGATTACTGATCTCCTGTAAACAGAGATTTTTATCCTCGTTATCATCCTCGGTTATATGTCAATTTAGCTTCCTTCGATTCAAGGTACGATAAGGAAGTGTGTATGTTATTTAATTAATAAAGAGGAATAAGTACAAAATGTATACACGCAAGGCTAAGAGAAAATTTCAAATTGTTCATTGAAAACCAAGTTCTATTGGAACGACAAACTGTTAGTTCTCTTACGTTGAATTCCTGCACATTTAACAAAGAGAGAAAGAAAAATGAAACTCAACATGCGTGAACCGAGCAATAAAAAGAAATGATCGAATCTTAACTGATACAGGAAAATACGTATTTCTTCATTCTTTTCACTGTCATCCCCTTTTGCCAATAACTCGTCTGAATCCTTTTTTTTTTCTTTCTCTTTCTTAAACATACGTCTTACTCTTTTCTTCTTTCTTTCAATCTTTCAATCATCATTTTCGCATTATTAAAAAATATTTCATTTTCTTCCTCTCTCGATCGCCCGTTAAACCTCTTTATTCATTCACTTTTTGTTTTTAGCTTGTTCGCGGCGCAAAAAGAGTGGCGGATGGCGAATAAAACGACGAAAAAGTTTCGAACGGGAGACGAAAGAGGAAAGGAGCATACATAGGGTGTCCCGAAAAAGAGCTACGCACGAGGCCATTCCCATGGACTTTGACTTACAAGGTGGAAAAAGTATATGCAGGTGCGATTAAAGTCCAGCGCTATGCAAAGGCACTGGAGAATTGTTTTTTTTTTCTTCTTCCTTCATTTAGAGACGCGATAACTATTTTATTCCTTCATTTTCTCCTTTTCTCAATTTTCATTTTCTCTAGGAACACCAACTACGCCTATTACCTCGACGAAGTGGTCGGTTTTGAAATATCAAAGGAGTCAAACACTGTCCGCCTCGTCGAGAATGGAAATATCAGGTTCTTATTTCTTTCTTTCTTTCTTTTTTTTTGGCTACCCTTCAAAATAGACCGCTTCTTGAGCCTCTCATTTGTTTAATCTCTCAAAAAAATCGTACGCCAAACTTTGAAAAATCTCTCTCTCTCTCTCTCTCGCTCGCTCGCTGTTTTTTATCTCACAGTGTATATATATATTTTTTTTTATTATATATATACATACATACATGCATACATGCATACGTACATACATACATACAATATAACTACGCACATGACAACGCTCTTCTTTTTCTCTCTTTTTGTTTAATCTCTCACAGGCTCTTTCTCTCTCTCTCTTTCTCTCGTTTTCGATTATATACGCACGCATAAAACGTAAGAACACATGTAAGTACACGCTTCAACATAATTCACACATACACACACGTACGCGCATACATTTCTTTTACACTTCTCTCTTCGTCTTTCAACTTAGATATCATAGTAATCTTAATATTTTTTTCTTCATCTTGTATACAAACTTACTCGCTAAAACGTATAACCTAAGGTGTACTCTCTGTTCTCTCTTTCTTTTCTTCTTTTTTCTCATGGTTACAAGTACATGGCGGTGGAGTATTTTAATACAGCTCA